TACAGATTCGGAGCCGGCCGACAGACTTTAAGACCGAACTGGAGGCTACTAGGTTCTTGGAGGGAGGGAGGGACGGACGATGAATTGAATGCTGTTCCAACCCGGCAGTCCGAGGTCAAACAACTGCGTACAAGGCCGTCCCTCAGAGCAACCAATAAATACCCGCCGGATCAGCTACGACGGCAGCGAAAGCACAACCTCCCATTCATCCCCCCAACCCTAGGCTCCCAAACCTTTGCCGACTAATCGCCGCCTTAAGTCCATTCCCTCAGTATCGTCGCACGCCCGGATGTGACACCCACGCGTTATACCATCTGTCCGTCCTACAAGTCACTCGGGGAAACCGTGCTCTATAAGAACCCACCCCGCTCTCCCCGAACCCTCCAGGCACTTATCAACCGGTATCTCCTCCTCATCCCCAGCAGACGGGTCGTCACCTTCTCCTTCAGACACCGGTTGCTCCACCGATCCGCCCCGCTCGTAACCCCACCGCAGAACCACGTTCCACCAATGGCGCAGCAGACCATCGAGGCCCACCGCCCCGGCGCGGAGATCTACACGGGCGACGACCTCTGCCGCCAGAAGGCCATCGACCTCCTCGAGGAACTCAACCTCCCCAGGGGCCTCCTCCCCATCGAGAACGTCGAGGAGATCGGCATCAACCGTCAGACCGGCTTCGTGTGGCTCCGCCAGAAGAAGGCCCTCAACTACACCTTCCGCAAGGCCGGCCGCCTCGTCTCCTACGGCGCCGAGGTCACGGGCTTCGTGGAGGACCGCCGCATGCGGCGGGTGACGGGGGTGAAGTCCAGGGAGATGCTCATCTGGATCCCGCTGGGAGAGTTCTTTGTGAACCCCAAGGACACCACCAAGATCACCTTCAGGACGCCCGCGGGACTCTCGAAGACCTACCCGGCCTCGGCCTTCGAGCTCGAGGAGCAGGGAAACCAGAGATTAACTGCGTAGTACGTACCCGGATTCGGTCGCTCTACATCTTCAAAATTGAATCTGTACCCTGAAGCAACAAGATGGAATTTTCCATCGCGTTAAAGCTCACAATTCTTTTGATTTTCACAAGATCGCTGTGTTCCCAATTGTTGAGAATCTTGCCAAACGTTCGGGTGAAAATGTCTCCCTAATTTTTGAGGATCTTTCCGCTGATAATCGCAGAAATTTCTTAGGAATAGAGAAAATGGTGAGTGAACAAATGGACGAAGACAACTAGAAATGTCGGCTGGAGATATAACCAGAATATGATGTCCTGTCACATTGTGAAGGGGGAGAATTATCGTTTGACCCGCGTACGCAAACTAAGCCACCTAAATGCTACGAGCTCGACACAAGCGACCAGACATCAAGTCTCCTGAGCGATTATCGCTTTTGAATACCGTGAATCAATGATTTATATTTACAATTGAAGTTCACATCTCTGCCTTGACGACACCTACGCTATACAACTACAACCAACCGACTTTAACCCATTGTTGTCCGCCGAGCATTGTTGCGTAAAGTGAATGAACTCACTTTATGTGCAGAAGACGGGCATCCAACAAATGTTGACCGTCCGAGATAAAACACAAAAGAACAGAGTGCTAGAGCACTTGTAATTTAAGTATGGGGCATCCCGTGATTAAGCATTGGCCGTGGGACAACCATTCTCACGTTAGTAATACTCATAGGTTGGTTGGAAGCCTCTAGATGCGTACTACCGATGTTCCGTTTGGTATGGGGAATCAAGTCGTTCGATATAGTGAGCGAACGTCTGGCTGCTCTGTCTGTCTACTTGCGACCTCTGTCTCTTTCTCTCTCGCATTCACAGTCTTTTACTTTCTCTCGCTCCTTGTCTAGCTCGCTCGCTCACGTGGGGATATCGTCACCACGGAGACGGTGTTGAACATCAAGTAACGAACGAACTACGAGAGATGAGATGCATAGAAACGGTCTCACGATGTATCCGTTGCCAGTAACATGATAGTTCCATCGAATGAACTCTATTTGTGTTGAATTGTTATAACTTTATTCTGTTATGAAAGTTTTAGTGCACTAAAAAAGTACCTGATTCACTAGGAGCCGGATCTATTGTGTAGCAACTCTTACCTCTTAAGTTTGTACCTAGAGTATTTGGAATAACACCTTTCTCTAGTCCTTTGATTTACGCGTTATTTAGAATTTGGAGGCCCGCTACCCACTGAGATGGGGAGGGCAACAGACCACACAACGCGTAGACTTATCCAAAAAAAAAAGACTCAACTAATAAAATGCACTCAGATTCTCGAGAAAGAACATGAGCAGACAAACGGCTTTCCGCACTGAATTATTAACCTACTTTCAAGATCATCCACTGCTTGTTTATTCGACAAACGGCGAGCCTAGATTTCCGCACTGAATACTCTGCCAACCCTCTGTCCAAGTTGGTTGTTATTCCTGGTCCGATGGCTCATGACGATATCTCTGAGCTCCTATTTAATAAATTAGTTCCTATTAACGCATCCCTTGCAAGGCAGTGGAGCGTCATAAATAGGTCAGGAAATTGGGGCCACCGCTGAACTTGTCAACTTTCCGTGTAAGCTCTCACTGTACATGACCTTGCCTGATCCTTCCACAATCCTCTCCATAAAAATGAATGTCGGCAGCAGCTGCGTACCGAAGGAGATCTTGTTAGGGGATGAGACAAAGTCGAGCACCGATTCACGCTGGCATTGAGTTCATCCACGGTGTGACTGAACACGCTTCTCGTCACTTGGACCATTTACACCACCCTTTTGGGGTCGTTTTACTTGGTACTCGTTCTTGTGAAACCCCGTACATGACCTGCTTTTGATAGCAATGGTATCATTCATATTTTGGGAAATGAGAAAAGTGATCCCTTTTATTTCGTAAATGACAAGTCAACAGGGTGTGGGCAATGAGGGATTTTCTTCTCGAATCTAACACTCTGTATCACATAGTCATCACTGCATCATGTTGAAACATCCATCGATTCTCTACACATCATAAAGCTACTGTTCTTGACTACACCTTAATGTTCTCCATATAATTAATCCCCTTTTTTTTTTTTTTACGGGAGTCCCTGGCAACAGAAAGTTGCTCCGGCGGTTACTTTAATCGAGAAGAGGATAAACGAGCAAGTAACAAATAATTGAGAAGCGCAAGCACCTTGCCCTTTGTAACCCGATTTGGGACACAAACGCTACTATTCAACAAGGAACGGGACCGGGACGGAAGCAAAGATTTGAACGCATCTTCCCTAGGAGCGTTAAATCCTTCGCTTGACTCTTTCTTCTAAAGTTGTGTCCACACTCCACGCTCCTTTTCACGATAATGGAGGACTTGACATATGATGCATGGAGAAGACTTTAAAGTCGGAAAACACGCTGTTCAATGGTTACCTTTGCCGCATTAGCTTGTAAAGTTTTAAATAGTTTAATGGTTGATTAAAGTATTTCGCAGACAGGGGTTGACCCTTGCTCCCGCGTGCTGTACGGAGGGAGGCCAAACGTCTAACTTGGCGCCGTCATTATTATGGGCTATTTCCGAAAGCATGCGGGCATTCCGAGCTGATCGTTCATTGGCTAACCGACGAGTACCAGTTATGATGATGATCACGCCATGACTAACCGCTAACCTCCTGTGGGCTTGTTTGAGAAGCCAATAGCGAATGCCGACGAACCATTTACGTGAGGAGCACTTTATGCTTAAGTTCCGAAAGTCAAACCTACGAGTTATCACGATCTTACACTAGGCGCCCGATAAAGAAACAGCTGTATCAACCTGCGGGGAACGCCACAGACAGCTGAAAAGGGGAATGGATGAGCGGCGGCTGCCCGGGTTCCCCGTAAGCTTAACCAATGGCATTGAATGCTCTCCCAAACCTTCGGCGAACATGGGTCTTGTTCATGCCCCAACGACCAACCGGCATGCCGACGGAACCCTACCTAGTGGCCATGTCTAGTTAATGTTAGTTTGGACGTCCTCAGTTCTCTCTCTCCCCGCACGCTGGCGAGTGGCTCATCGTGGGAGATACCGTACGCTGTCCTTCTTACTACAGAAAACCCAGCAGCTGGGTTCGTCAAGCAGGATGTTCATCTTGATCGCTTTCGCCTGGGGTGTGCCGAAAACTTGCATAATTTACGTTCATTCAACGCTTCGTTATAAACTTTGCCTTTTCTCCTCGGTGAATTTTAGAACTTAGCCAGTGTGGGATGTGATGGAACCACGCAGGTTTTTCATAAGATTCAGTTTCTTGCTGGGTCAGTTTGATGATACATTTCTCGAAACAAAGGCTGGGACTCGTCTCTCCCATTGGAATGAGAGCAAAAAGATGCTTCAATCGCGAGAACACACCACCCCTTAAGCTTGATGAACGTGATGTTCTACCAGGGACTAGTTTAGCTATATCATCTTGATATTTGGTAGTCAACTATGCCTCTACTTTATCATCTGGTGTGTGAATCTATGATGAGTGCATGCTAACGAGCTGCTGTGCCGACTTGTGGGCCTCTCCTCGAATAATGCACCCGGCAGGGGAGGGAAAAGAGAGGCTTCTGATTTGCTGGGCGAATGTACTTATCAAACCTCGTCAGGGATTCCATACAGTGTACTAGGTCGACGGACTGAGGGGGCGAACCTGGCCGTAGAGGCTGAGAGGTAGCACAGAACGGTGGGAATGAGTGCTAGTGGCGGAAGCGGAATAAGGATGTGGGCAAAGAAATAGAGAAAGAGGGAGAGAGAGAAAGGGAGACGGAGATGGACTATAAGCATTGAAACCGCGGGGGGATTGGGGGGGGGAGGAGACGGACTTCCGACTATGCGAATGAGAGCGATAACTAAGGGAATAAGCAAGGAGTGTAGAGTGAAAGAGGGTGGGCACAGTGTTTGACATACCCCTATGCAGATACTCCACCCAATTCGTTACCTTGTGAAGTCATTCACAGACCAGATGCATAACAGAAAATTTACCAAGTCAGGCCGAACAATCTTGATGCTCATCTTTTCCGGTACGTATGGAACGTTTCCCTTCAACGTGATTCTGCCCCTTCCTCAGTTGACCTTCACTACCACTGGCGCCTGGATGACCCCTCTTCGAGTTCTGACTTCTCTTTTGTCACGGATGCTATTAAAACCCATAAGGAAGGGACCATAATTGCGTGGGTCCCACATCTCCGCTTCGTTTCCTCCGTCAGAAGTCGCTGTGTAATTATGAGGGCCAAGTGGCATCCTTAGGTGATGATAACTAGAGTGCTTCAATCCAAAGGCCCATGCTGGCGTTCCCGTGGATCATCGGACATTGAACAACAGCCTGCCTCGCCGCCAGTTTCGAAGATCATTTAACACTCCCGATTCCACTCACCCGGACGACCAAGCCAGAGCTTCTCATCCGTCCCCTGAGAACCCCTGCAAACCAAACGGCAACCTCTAGTTCATTGCATCCCACGGTCCCGCGTCAGGCTGTGAGGCCCACACGCTGAACCAGCCATCTCCCTTATCCGTCCCCCGCGAAGACCGCACTATATAAGTATCCCTCCCGCTCGCCTCCATCGCACCCATCACTTCACGTCATCAGCCAGCTCTCTTTCCTCCTCATCCCCAGGAGACGGGTCGTCACCTTCTCCTTCAGACACCGGTTGCTCCACCGATCCGCCCCGCTCGTAACCCCACCGCAGGTCCACGTTCCACCAATGGCGCAGCAGACCATCGAGGCCCACCGCCCCGGCGCGGAGATCTACACGGGCGACGACCTCTGCCGCCAGAAGGCCATCGACCTCCTCGAGGAACTCAACCTCCCCAGGGGCCTCCTCCCCATTGAGAACGTCGAGGAGATCGGCATCAACCGTCAGACCGGCTTCGTGTGGCTCCGCCAGAAGAAGGCCCTCAACTACACCTTCCGCAAGGCCGGCCGCCTCGTCTCCTACGGCGCCGAGGTCACGGGCTTCGTGGAGGACCGCCGCATGCGGCGGGTGACGGGGGTGAAGTCCAGGGAGATGCTCGTCTGGATCCCGCTGGGAGAGTTCTTTGTGAACCCCAAGGACTCCACCAAGATCACCTTCAGGACGCCCGCGGGACTCTCGAAGACCTACCCGGCCTCGGCCTTCGAGCTCGAGGAGCAGGGAAACCAGAGATTAACTGCGTAGTACGTACCCGGATTCGGTCGCTCTACATCTTCAAAATTGAATCTGTACCCTGAAGCAACAAGATGGAATTTTCCATCGCGTTAAAGCTCACAATTCTTTTGATTTTCACAAGATCGCTGTGTTCCCAATTGTTGAGAATCTTGCCAAACGTTCGGGTGAAAATGTCTCCCTAATTTTTGAGGATCTTTCCGCTGATAATCGCAGAAATTTCTTAGGAATAGAGAAAATGGTGAGTGAACAAATGGACGAAGACAACTAGAAATGTCGGCTGGAGATATAACCAGAATATGATGTCCTGTCACATTGTGAAGGGGGAGAATTATCGTTTGACCCGCGTACGCAAACTAAGCCACCTAAATGCTACGAGCTCGACACAAGCGACCAGACATCAAGTCTCCTGAGCGATTATCGCTTTTGAATACCGTGAATCAATGATTTATATTTACAATTGAAGTTCACATCTCTGCCTTGACGACACCTACGCTATACAACCACAACCAACCGACTTTAACCCATTGTTGTCCGCCGAGCATTGTTGCGTAAAGTGAATGAACTCACTTTATGTGCAGAAGACGGGCATCCAACAAATGTTGACCGTCCGAGATAAAACACAAAAGAACAGAGTGCTAGAGCACTTGTAATTTAAGTATGGGGCATCCCGTGATTAAGCATTGGCCGTGGGACAACCATTCTCACGTTAGTAATACTCATAGGTTGGTTGGAAGCCTCTAGATGCGTACTACCGAGGCCACTCGAGCCTCATGAGAAATCTTTGATGTTCAGACCAACTTGATTGTCTGCTGGCTCTCCCCACAACAGTGCGGTTTAACCCCCTTCCACCGTGGATGAACCTAGGCAACTCATTTTCTGTCACATTAAAATTATAAACAATTGGTTATAATCAAGAGAATAACGATTAAATAATATACTCATGCGCCACGCTGCAAAGTCTACGGCAAACTGGTATTGCAAATTGGTATTCAACACTAAAATAGATTTCAAAAATGAAAGTCAAAGGAATCAGGATTGATATTGCCGCTGAGCATTTCCCTTAAAGAAAAGGTTGGATATACGGAAACATGGACCATATTCGTAGAGTCAAGAAGATATTTAAAAATAAGGGAGTGATGGTGGGGGTGGAGGGAATGAACTAAACGCTAATTGGTAGTTGGCAGGGAGGTGGCCTATTGGTGATGAATGCGGGTTCAAATTCTTCACCAAGTTCATTGTATTTTGTGCTTTGATTATCCACTTGTGAGCTTAGGCCCCTACATAATGAATAACGCTGTTCCATGAGTCCGCCGCATGTCAACGGGCTGGGCGCATGTGACAGGTGGAACCATATGCACGAGAGACGAAGTTGGAAGGCACATCATCACGATCTTGTCGCCGTCTCTCTCTCTCTTTTCACTCCGCACGGCAGTAGTGCTGGAGTCCACCATGCAAGACTGCCATTAGAAAGAAAATTCACTTCCATTACGATACAAAAATTTTAAATTTCGGTGAGGCGTAATCGAGATCAATAGGCCTGAACCAACGAGCAATTTAAGGCAAAAGGCCTAACATGGTCTGGTTCAAGCATGATGGTTGTCATCGTCGATGAGTACCTTAGGGCGGCATCAGGACCAAAGAAGAAAAATCTAAACAACCGCAAAAATATTACTTCCTCCGTTCTTACAGTGAATACATTATAGAGATAGCTTGCTCAATATATTTCAAGACATCCCTAGTGAGAAAACCCCTCAATTCCTCTACGCCATTCACTTATCGTTTACGCAGAGCCAGTATCAAATGCACGACACACACTGGTAAAAGCCATCTTTTCTCCTCTTCAGACCGATGGATCTTCTTCTAATCATGCAAGTCCATAACGACTCGAAATGAACGCTCCATATACCTAGACGAGTGAGTCGTAGCACAAGCGACGAAGGATCATCCCAACAAGGTTTTTTGAATAGTCTGGCTGATTAACACCCATCATTTACGTCTTTCCGGGCACACTCTGACATCTTACGTTGATGGCATCCCGAGTTCAAGCTTCCGAAGTCGTCCTCATTCAGTATTCGAGGAAAAATGGCAAGGAGACGGCAGACTGTCCTTCTCTCCTGCTCACGTTTAGCATAAATATGATGACTGGAAGATGAAAGAAAAAAGGAATCCAGAGTCAACGTAGCAGCCTTTGTGAAAAAGAAGCTATCTTTCTCTCGTTCATCCCGAGCTAGGGCAACGAACAATGAACATTTTATAGAACAAATGTTTCAATGAACGCGCATGTAATTATCAGGCGAGTAATCTCTGGTTTCCCTGCTCCTCGAGCTCGAAGGCCGAGGCCGGGTAGGTCTTCGAGAGTCCCGCGGGCGTCCTGAAGGTGATCTTGGTGGTGTCCTTGGGGTTCACAAAGAACTCTCCCAGCGGGATCCAGATGAGCATCTCCCTGGACTTCACCCCCGTCACCCGCCGCATGCGGCGGTCCTCCACGAAGCCCGTGACCTCGGCGCCGTAGGAAACGAGGCGGCCGGCCTTGCGGAAGGTGTAGTTGAGGGCCTTCTTCTGGCGGAGCCACACGAAGCCGGTCTGACGGTTGATGCCGATCTCCTCGACGTTCTCGATGGGGAGGAGGCCCCTGGGGAGGTTGAGTTCCTCGAGGAGGTCGATGGCCTTCTGGCGGCAGAGGTCGTCGCCCGTGTAGATCTCCGCGCCGGGGCGGTGGGCCTCGATGGTCTGCTGCGCCATTGGTGGAACGTGGTTCTGCGGTGGGGTTACGAGCGGGGCGGATCGGTGGAGCAACCGGTGTCTGAAGGAGAAGGTGACGACCCGTCTGCTGGGGATGAGGAGGAGATACCGGTTGATAAGTGCCTGGAGGGTTCGGGGAGAGCGGGGTGGGTTCTTATAGAGCACGGTTTCCCCGAGTGACTTGTAGGACGGACAGATGGTATAACGCGTGGGTGTCACATCCGGGCGTGCGACGATACTGAGGGAATGGACTTAAGGCGGCGATTAGTCGGCAAAGGTTTGGGAGCCTAGGGTTGGGGGGATGAATGGGAGGTTGTGCTTTCGCTGCCGTCGTAGCTGATCCGGCGGGTATTTATTGGTTGCTCTGAGGGACGGCCTTGTACGCAGTTGTTTGACCTCGGACTGCTGGGTTGGAAGAGCATTCAATTCATCGTCCGTCCCTCCAAGAACCTAGTAGCCTCCAGTTCGGTCTTAAAGTCTGTCGGCCGGCTCCGAATCTGTATCTGACGTTGATGTATACGATTTCTTCACACCCTAACTCCCCCGCACCCCATGCAGTAACCCTCACTATCTGAAATAGTCCACCCTTGGATTAGGGATTATTGCCTGGTCCACAATTGCCTCGGATGTTTGAGCGCACATTCGAGAGTGGCGGAAATGTGGAACCGGTGAGGCAGAAGGAGAGTCATGGATACTAGAGAAACCGCGAGGTGGGGGGGCGCGGGGACGGACCACCGACTATGCAAGCGAGAGCGATAACTAAGCGGAGAGGCAGGGAGTGTTGGCAAAAGAGGGTGGGCACAGTTTCTGACGTCCCCATACGTAGATACTCCACCTTGTGAAGTCATTCGCAGACCAGATCCCTAACCGAAAATTTACCAAGGCCGGACAATCTTGATGCTCATCGTTTCCAGCATGTTTGGAACGTTTCCATTCAACGTGATTCTGCCCCTCCCTCAGTTGACCTTCACTACCACTGGCTTCCCTTTTGTCACGGATGCTATTAAAACCCAGAAGGAAGGGACCATAGTTGCGTGGGTCCCACATCTCCGCTTCGTTTTCTCCGTCAGAAGTCGCTGTGTACTTATGAGGGCCAGGTGGCATCCTTAGGTGATGATAACTAGAGTGCTTCAATCCAAAGGCCCATGCCGGCGTTCCCGTGGATCATCGGACATTGAACAACAGCCTGCCTCCCCGCCAGTTTCGAAGATCATTTAACACCCCCGATTCCACTCACCCGGACGACCAAGCCAGAGCTTCTCATCCGTCCCCTGAGAACCCGTGCCAACCAAACGGCAGCCTCTGGTTCATTCCGTCCCACGGTCCCGTGCCAGGCTGTGCGCCGCACACGCTAAACCAGCCGTCTCCCTTATCCGTCCCCCGCGAAGACTGCACTATATAAGTATCCCTCCCGCTCGCCTCCGTCGCACCCATCACCTCACTTCATCAGCCAGCTCTCTTTCCTCCTCATCCCCAGCAGACGGGTCGTCACCTTCTCCTTCTCCTTCAGACACCGGTTGCTCCACCGATCCGCCCCGCCCGTAACCCCACCGCAGGTCCACGTTCCACCAATGGCGCAGCAGACCATCGAGGCCCACCGCCCCGGCGCGGAGATCTACACGGGCGACGACCTCTGCCGCCAGAAGGCCATCGACCTCCTCGAGGAACTCAACCTCCCCAGGGGCCTCCTCCCCATCGAGAACGTCGAGGAGATCGGCATCAACCGTCAGACCGGCTTCGTGTGGCTCCGCCAGAAGAAGGCCCTCAACTACACCTTCCGCAAGGCCGGCCGCCTCGTCTCCTACGGCGCCGAGGTCACGGGCTTCGTGGAGGACCGCCGCATGCGGCGGGTGACGGGGGTGAAGTCCAGGGAGATGCTCATCTGGATCCCGCTGGGAGAGTTCTTTGTGAACCCCAAGGACACCACCAAGATCACCTTCAGGACGCCCGCGGGACTCTCGAAGACCTACCCGGCCTCGGCCTTCGAGCTCGAGGAGCAGGGAAACCAAAGATTACTCACCTGATAGTTGTACAGAATCCACGATACAATTGTTGATTGTCTTTGGTCGACTTACAACGCTCACTAAAGAACTATGACTTATTCTTCAATGGTACTGTCAACGGAGTTCGGACAATGAAGTCGCCCACTGTTACTGCCATGTCGTTTTTGTCTTCTCTTTTTTCCCGGGTAAATATAAGGAGAAAAGATTGGCTGAGGGAGAGCGGGGGGAACAGAGATCTGAGGTCGTTTCGGAGGAACCTTCGGAGTTGTGGAATCGAGGCCATCAAACTGAGGCAGTTAATCATGTAAGTTTGGCGCATTGGGAGTCTCATTGACATAGTGAATCAAGGTGTTCTTCGTCAAACAGTCCAGCTGAAGTGTTAACAAATGATCCGCGTGGTTGCGTGATTGCTTGCTGCTTAGTAGTGATCAGTCGGCCGGATTAAATAATCGTCACAGATTGACCCGCCTAGTAAAAGGCCATGTTTAGACGATATCCTTGAACTCTGGCTGTTTATTTTGAATACCGGTTTTCATTATTTATATTGTAAAACGTGACCGGTAATGGATGAAGCGAAGTCGAATGGAGAAGTCGCACTTTTACAATAAGGTTTCAAGCAATCGGACGAACCCACCAATCAGTTTTAGTCATCACAATCTTACTAGCTGATTTTCTTGCCATGCCGCATCATTTGGATACGGAAATAAGTTTTCGAAAGTGATGCAGTGGATGTTATATGTTTCCTTTTCTCTCTTTGTGATTCGATCTTCCGTCCAGACCTCTAAGCTCTCTGTCTCTGTCTCTGTCTGTCTGTCTGTCTGTCTCTCTCTCTCTCTCTCTCAGGGGACGTGACAAATTTGGGGCACTGGGTTCTACGTAGCAAATGGGAAATTATCCTTGCCAATGCGCTTCTCCTTGTTCTTCTTTACTGCAAGCGTTGGTCTTAGGGAAGCCAGAAGAGGACCGTTCAGGCTTTACACCATTGAAAATAAAAGCAAATTCGTAGGGCACCTCATCTCCGGATATGTATGAGTGTTTCTCCTTGTGTGGCAGCCGTTCCTTCTCAGCATCAACTGTTCTTAAGCATATCCTCCGCGCTTCTTCCTGGCAGATCCATTCGATGCACCTCTCTCTCTCTCTCTCACAGCCCGCAAATCGGTCCGCTCGGTCTCTCTGTCCCTGCATGTGCCAGGTCGCTGTGTGTGCTCTTCTCGCTCGCTAGCATTGCCCCACATGTTCCTTCAGCTTCCGCCACTGGCACTCATTCCCACCGTCCTGTGCATGTTCTGAGCCTCTACGGCAAGGTTCACCCTTCAGCCCGTCAACCTAGTACACTGTATCGAATCCCTGACGAAGTTGGCTGCCTGTTAATCTACCGTAGAAAGCCACCGGCGGCGGGCGAAACGTACTCACTGAATGCTCTCTTAAATGGGGACAAGTCGCCCAGGACCCAATGAAAGGATGGTACTTCCAATAGCGAATGCGTGTGAGAAGACGATAGAGTAGAAGCACAACAAACTACCACATATGATGATGATAAACTTTTGGCTCTCACGTAGTTCCCAGCAGAACATCGTCTTCATCAGGATCAAGGGATGTTGTGTTCGAAGCATCTTTCTCATCTCACTCCAACGGGAGAGACGAGTCGCAGCCTTTGCTTTGAAAAATTTATCATAAGACTCGCCCAATGAAAAAGTAAATCTTCTGAAAACGCTTGCGTGGTTCCATCGTATCTGTCACCATGGCTAAGTTCCGGGGTAAATTCTAAAATTTACCGAGGGGAAAAGGCTAAGTTCATAATGAAGCGTTGAATTAACATAAAATACATTAGTTTGTGCCACACCTGAGGCGAAAGCGATCAAGATGAATATCCTTCTTGACGAAATCGCCTGCTGTGTTTTCTGTGGTGTGAAGGAAAGAGGGCGGTATCTCCCACGATGGAGCCAATCGCCATCGAGCGGGGAGAGCGAATTGAGGACGGATAAACGAACATGAATGAGGGCATAAAGTGTTCAAACTAGGTAGGGTTCCGCCGGTATGCCCGTTGGTCATCGGGGCATGAACGAGGGCCATGTTCGCCGGAGGTTTGAGAGAGCGTTCAGTACCATTGGTTAAGCTTTCGGGGAAACGGGGCAGCTGCCACTCCGGTTGTCTGTGGCGTGCCCCGCACGTTGATGCAGCTGTTTCTCGTGCGTCTAATGCCAGATCGTGATAACTTGTAGGTTTGACTTGCGGAAAGTAAGCATAAAGTGTTCCTTACATAAATGGTTCGCCGACATTCGGTATTGGTTGCTCTGCCAAGCCGATAGGAGGTTAGCGGCCAGTCATGCTGTGATCATCATCATAACTGCTGCTCATCGGTTGGCCAATGAACTACCAACTCGGAATGGCCGCATGCTTTCGGAAATAATCCATAATAATGACGGCGTCAGGTTGAATGTCTGCCCTCCCTCCGCAAAGCAGCAGGGGTCAACCCCTGTCCGTGAACTAATCTAATGAACCGTTAAACTATTTAAAACTTTGCAAGGTAAACGCGGTTGAGGATAACCGTTGAACGGGGTGTTTTACACTTTCAATGTCTTCTCCAAGCATCCTCTGTCTAAGTCCATTATCGTGAAAAGCGGCGTCGAGTGTGGACGGAACTTTAGAAGAAAGAGTCAAAGGATCTAAAGCTCGCACGGAAAATGAGTTCACATATTTGGTTCCGTCCCGGTCCCATTCCTTGTTGAATAATAGCGCTTCCGTGTCCCAAATTGGATTAGGAAATGCAAGGCGCTTGCGCTTCTCAATTATTTATTACTTGCCGGTTTATTCTCTTCTCAGTTACACTAACCACCCGAGCAAGGAACTGTGGTTAGGAAGTCCCCCAAAAGAGAAGGGAACAATTACACGGAGAACATTAAGATGTAGTGAAGAACAGCAGCTTTATGATGTGTACAGAGCTAATGGGTGTTTCCACATGATGCTGCGGTGACTCCGTGTGAGACAGGGTGACAGATTCAATACTAAAATCCCTCAATTTCCACACCCAGTCAACGCACCATTTACGAAACATAAGAGGACAACTTTTCCCATTTCCCAAAAAATGAATTCTACCCACCCCCTTCCAATTAAACGCAAATTATAAACAGGGCTCACAAGAATGGGTAGCGAGTAGAACAACCCAAAAAGGGTGGCGTAAACGGTCCAATTGACGAGAAACGTCTTCACTCGCACCGTCGATGTCATTGGATGCCAGTGTGGATCGGCGCTTGGCTTCCTCTCATCCCTCAATGTTCACGTTCGGTCCCGCAGCTGATGCCAATCTTCATTTTAATGGAAGAAAGGCGGACCCAGTCGGATTGTGGAAGGATGAAACAAGGGCGTGTACAGTGAGAGCGTCCATCGAAACTTGGCAAGCTCACCGGCCGCCCCCAACTTCCTGGCCTATTTATGGGGCTCCACTGGCTTGGCTGGGTGGCGTTAATCAAGACTAATTTATTTAATAGCGGCCCAAAAAAGTCCTTGTGAACGACCGGAGCAGGAACAACGGCCAACTTGGGCAATGGTTTGACAGAGTATTCAGTACAAAAACCAAGCCTCGCCGTTGGTTGCATTAAACAAGCGAAGGATGATCTTGGAAGCTTCTTATTAATCGTCAGGCTGACTTTAAACGACTCCACTCGTTTTTTCCTCGAGACTCTGAGCGCAGTTTTTTAATCCAGACTCGGTTTTAGATAAACCTACGTGTGCTGTGGTCTGTTGCGCTTTCCATTTCAATGAGTTGCAAGACTCCCATTCCAAGTAACGAGTAAAACAATGGATCAAAGAAAACCTGTTATTCCAAATATTCTACAGACAAGATTATGAAGTAAGAGTTCTACATACGAGATCAGCTGCCGAGGGAATCCGAATATGTTTAGACGACTACAAGTTTCATAACGAAATAAGCGATCTTCCCCACGTAATTATACGAATCCATCACGAATAAAATCCATTTGATTGAACTATCCTGTTATTGGGTCTGGACACATCATGCCACTGTTTTTATATATCTCATCTCTCGTGGTCCATTCGTTACCAGATTCTCAATACAGTCTCCGCAGTTTCGATATCCCTACATGAGACGAAGAGGAAGGGAGAGGGAGAGAGAGAGAGAGAGTAAAAGAAAGGGAGTGCGAGAGAGAAGGAGAGAGAGAGAGAGAGTGCTCACGTAGACAGATAGAGTAGTTTGACGCTCCCCGATTGTACCAGTCGACTTGACCCCCCATACCGAAGGAAACCTTGTTATTCTCGCCTTTAAAAAAAGAATCTCAAATTTTATCGGACGAGCGGATTGTTGATGGTAACGACCAGTGTCATGAAGAAGAGGTGTGCAGGCTCTAGTTGTGCATGCTGGGATGGCAGGTAGATGTGGTGCATCGTCTCATGGAAAGGCGCTGAGGGAGCCGCCAGTATCGCGGGCCCGAAGCACCACCGAATAAGGATCGGAGAAAGAACCAAAGGCTACAAGGTTGCCAGAAGCAAGAAGGATGCCTTAAATGCTGTGAAACCTGGATGCTTCACAACAGCTGACCTCGCCGCCGGGTTTGACGGAGCATTGAAGAGCAACCGCTGTCCGTGAGGCGGCGATCAAACCGCAGCCTGTCGTCCATCCCCCCTAATTCCTGCAAACTAAGTGACCAACCTTTCGTTCATTCCCCGGAGGTCAGGCCCACACACTATAAAAACCCACCCCGCTCGCCTCCATCGCACCCATCACTTCACCTCATCAGCCAGCTCTCTTTCCTCCTCATCCCCAGCAGACGGGTCGTCACCTTCTCCTTCTCCTTCAGACACCGGTTGCTCCACCGATCCGCCCCGCCCGTAACCCCACCGCAGGTCCACGTTCCACCAATGGCGCAGCAGACCATCGAGGCCCACCGCCCCGGCGCGGAGATCTACACGGGCGACGACCTCTGCCGCCAGAAGGCCATCGACCTCCTCGAGGAACTCAACCTCCCCAGGGGCCTCCTCCCCATCGAGAACGTCGAGGAGATCGGCATCAACCGTCAGACCGGCTTCGTGTGGCTCCGCCAGAAGAAGGCCCTCAACTACACCTTCCGCAAGGCCGGCCGCCTCGTCTCCTACGGCGCCGAGGTCACGGGCTTCGTGGAGGACCGCCGCATGCGGCGGGTGACGGGGGTGAAGTCCAGGGAGATGCTCATCTGGATCCCGCTGGGAGAGTTCTTTGTGAACCCCAAGGACACCACCAAGATCACCTTCAGGACGCCCGCGGGACTCTCGAAGACCTACCCGGCCTCGGCCTTCGAGCTCGAGGAGCAGGGAAACCAGAGATTAACTGCGTAGTACGTACCCGGATTCGGTCGCTCTACATCTTCAAAATTGAATCTGTAGCCTGAGGCAACAAGATGGAATTTTCCATCGCGTTAAAGCTCACAATTCTTTTGATTTTCACAAGATCGCTGTGTTCCCAATTGTTGAGAATCTTGCCAAACGTTCGGGTGAAAATGTCTCCCTAATTTTTGAGGATCTTTCTGCTGATAATCGGCAGAAATTTCTTAGGAATAGAGAAAATGGTGAACAAATGGACGAAGACAACCAGAAATGTCGGCTGGAGATATAGCCAGAATATGATGTCCTGTCACATTGTGAAGGGGGAGAATTATCGTTTGACCCACGTACGCAAACTAAGCCACCTAAATGCTACGAGCTCGACACAAGCGACCAAACATCAAGTCTTCTGAGCGATTATCGCTTTTGAATACCGTGAATCAATGATTTATATTTACAATTGAAGTTCACATCTCTGCCTTGACGACACCTACACTATACAACTACAACCAACCGACTTTAACCCATTGTTGTCCGCCGAGCATTGTTGCGTAAAGTGAATGAACTCACTTTATATGCAGAAGACGGGCATGCAACAAATGTTGACCGTCCGAGATAAAACACAAAAGGAACAAAGTGCTAGAGCACTTGTAATTTAAGTGTGGGGCATCTCGTGATTAAGCATTGGCCGTGGGACAACCATTCTCACGTTCGTAATACTCATAGGTTGGTTGGAAGCCTCTAGATGCGTACTACCGAAGTTCCGTTTGGTATGGGGAATCAAGTCGTTCGATATAGTGAGTGAACGTCTGGCTGCTCTGTCTGTCTACTTGCGACCTCTGTCTCTTTCTCTCTCGCATTCACAGTCTTTTACTTTCTCTCGCTCCTTGTCTAGCTCGCTCGCTCGCGTAGGGATATCGTCACCACGGAGACGGTGTTGAACATCAAGTAACGAACGAACTACGAGAGATGAGATGTATAGAAACGGTCTCACGATGTATCCGTTGCCAGTAACATGATAGTTCCATCGAATGAACTCTATTTGTGTTGAATTCTTATGACTTTATTCTGTTATGAAAGTTTTAGTGCACTAAAAAGGTACCTGATTCACTAGGAGCCGGATCTATTATGTAGCAACTCTTACCTCATGAGTTTGTACCTAGAGTATTTGGAATAACACCTTTTCTCTAGTCCTTTGATTTACGCGTTATTTAGAATTTGGAGGCCCGCTACCCATTGAGATGGGGAGGGCAACAGACCACACAACGCGTAGACTTATCCAAAAAAAAAAAAAGACTCAACTAATAAAATGCACTCAGATTCTCGAGAAAGAACATGAGCAGACAAACGGCTTTCCGCACTGAATTATTAACCTACTTTCAAGATCATCCACTGCTTGTTTATTCGACAAACGGCGAGCCTAGATTTCCGCACTGAATACTCTGCCAACCCTCTGTCCAAGTTGGTTGTTATTCCTGGTCCGATGGCTCATGACGATATCTCTGAGCTCCTATTTAATAAATTAGTTCCTATTAACGCATCCCTTGCAAGGCAGTGGACCGTCATAAATAGGTCAGGAAATTGGGGCCACCGCTGAACTTGTCAACTTTCCGTGTAAGCTCTCACTGTACATGACCTTGCCTGATCCTTCCACAATCCGAAAGGTTGGGCTTTTCTCCATAAAAATGAATGTCGGCAGCAGCTGCGTGACCGAAGGAGATCTTGTTAGGGGATGAGACAAAGTCGAGCACCGATTCACGCTGGCATTGAGTTCATCCACGGTGTGACTGAACACGCTTCTCGTCACTTGGACCATTTACACCACCCTTTTGGGGTCGTTTTACTTGGTACTCGTTCTTGTGAAACCCCGTACATGACCTGCATTTGATAGCAATGGTATCATTCTTATTTTGGGAAATGAGAAAAGTGATCCCTTTTATTTCGTAAATGACGAGTCAACAGGGTGTGGGCAATGAGGGATTTTCTTCTCGAATCTAACACTCTGTGTCACATAGTCATCACTGCATCATGTTGAAACATCCATCGATTCTCTACACATCATAAAGCTACTGTTCTTGACTACACCTTAATGTTCTCCGTATAATTAATCCCCTTTTTTTTTTTACGGGAGTCCCTGGCAACAGAAAGTTGCTCCGGCGGTTAGTTTAATCGAGAAGAGGATAAACGAGCAAGTAACAAATAATTGAGAAGCGCAAGCACCTTGCCCTTTGTAACCCGATTTGGGACACAAACGCTACTATTCAACAAGGAACGGGACCGGGACGGAAGCAAAGATTTGAACGCATCTTCCCTACGAGCGTTAAATCCTTCGTTTGACTCTTTCTTCTAAAGTTGTGTCCACACTCCACGCCCCTTTTCACGATAATGGAGGACTTGACATATGATGCATGGAGAAGACTTTGAAGTTGTAAAACACGCTGTTCAATGGCTACCTTTGCCGCATTAGCTTGTAAAGGTTTAAATAGTTTAATGGTTGATTAAAGTATTTCGCAGACAGGGGTTGACCCTTGCTCCCGCGTGCTGTACGGAGGGAGGCCAAACATCTAACTTGGCGCCGTCATTATTATGGGCTATTTCCGAAAGCATGCGGGCATTCCGAGCTGATCGTTCATTGGCTAACCGACGAGTACCAGTTATGATGATGATCACGCCATGACTAACCGCTAACCTCCTGTGGGGTTGTCAGAGAAGCCAATAGCGAATGCCGGCGAACCATTTACGTGAGGAGCACTTTATGCTTAAGTTCCAAAAGTCAAACCTACGAGTTATCACGATCTTACACTTGGCGCCCGATAAAGAAACAGCTGTATCAACCTGCGGGGAACGCCACAGACAGCTGAAAAGGGGAATGGATGAGCGGCGGCTGCCCGGGTTCCCCGTAAGCTTAACCAATGGCATTGAATGCTCTCCTAAACCTTCGGCGAACATGGGTCTTGTTCATGCCCCAACGACCAACCGGCATGCCGACGGAACCCTACCTAGTGGGCCATGTCTAGTTAATGTTAGTTTGGACGTCCTCAGTTCTCTCTCTCCCCGCACGCTGGCCAGTGGCTCATCGTGGGAGATACCGTACGCTGTCCTTCTTACTACAGAAAACCCAGCAGCTGAGTTCGTCAAGCAGGATGTTCATCTTGATCGCTTTCGCCTGGGGTGTGCCGAAAACTTGCATAATTTACGTTCATTCAACGCTTCGTTATAAACTTTGCCTTTTCTCCTCGGTGAATTTTAGAACTTAGCCACAGTGTGGGATGTGATGGAACCACGCAGGTTTTTCATAAGATTCAGTTTCTTACTGGGTCAGTTTTATGATACATTTCTCGAAACAAAGGCTGGGACTCGTCTCTCCCATTGGAATGAGAGCAAAAAGATGCTTCAATCGCGAGAACACACTACCCCTTAAGCTTGATGAACATGATGTTCTACCAGGGACTAGTTTAGCTGTATCATCTTGATATTTGGTAGTCAATTATGCCTCTACTTTATCATCTGATGTGTGAATCTATGATGAGTGCATGCTAACGAGCTGCTGTGCTGACTTGTGGGCCTCTCCCCGAATAATGCACCCGGCAGGGGAGGGAAAAGAGAGGCTTCTGATTTGCTGGCCGAATGTACTTATCAAACCTCGTCAGGGATTCCATACAGTGTACTAGGTCGACGGACTGAGGGGGCGAACCTGGGCGTAGAGGCTGAGAGGTAGCACAGAACGGTGGGAATGAGTGCTAGTGGCGGAAGCGGAATAAGGATGTGGGCAAAGAAATAGAGAAAGAGGGAGAGAGAGAAAGGGAGACGGAGATGGACTATAAGCATTGAAACCGCGGGGGGATTGGGGGGGGGAGGAGACGGACTTCCGACTATGCGAATGAGAGCGATAACTAAGGGAATAAGCAAGGAGTGTAGAGTGAAAGAGGGTGGGCACAGTGTTTGACATACCCCTATGCAGATACTCCACCCAATTCGTTACCTTGTGAAGTCATTCACAGACCAGATGCATAACAGAAAATTTACCAAGTCAGGCCGAACAATCTTGATGCTCATCTTTTCCGGTACGTATGGAACGTTTCCCTTCAACGTGATTCTGCCCCTTCCTCAGTTGACCTTCACTACCACTGGCGCCTGGATGACCCCTCTTCGAGTTCTGACTTCTCTTTTGTCACGGATGCTATTAAAACCCATAAGGAAGGGACCATAGTTGCGTGGGTCCCACATCTCCGCTTCGTTTTCTCCGTCAGAAGTCGCTGTGTACTTATGAGGGCCAAGTGGCATCCTTAGGTGATGACAACTAGAGTGCTTCAATCCAAAGGCCCATGCTGGCGTTCCCGTGGATCATCGGACATTGAACAACAGCCTGCCTCGCCGCCAGTTTCGAAGATCATTTAACACCCCCGATTCCACTCACCCGGACGACCAAGCCAGAGCTTCTCATCCGTCCCCTGAGAACCCCTGCAAACCAAACGGCAGCCTCTAGTTCATTGCATCCCACGGTCCCGCGTCAGGCTGTGAGGCCCACACGCTGAACCAGCCGTCTCCCTTATCCGTCCCCCGCGAAGACTGCACTATATAAGTATCCCTCCCGCTCGCCTCCATCGCACCCATCACTTCACCTCACCAGCCAGCTCTCTTTCCTCCTCATCCCCAGCAGACGGGTCGTCACCTTCTCCTTCTCCTTCAGACACCGGTTGCTCCACCGATCCGCCCCGCCCGTAACCCCACCGCAGGTCCACGTTCCACCAATGGCGCAGCAGACCATCGAGGCCCACCGCCCCGGCGCGGAGATCTACACGGGCGACGACCTCTGCCGCCAGAAGGCCATCGACCTCCTCGAGGAACTCAACCTCCCCAGGGGCCTCCTCCCCATCGAGAACGTCGAGGAGATCGGCATCAACCGTCAGACCGGCTTCGTGTGGCTCCGCCAGAAGAAGGCCCTCAACTACACCTTCCGCAAGGCCGGCCGCCTCGTCTCCTACGGCGCCGAGGTCACGGGCTTCGTGGAGGACCGCCGCATGCGGCGGGTGACGGGGGTGAAGTCCAGGGAGATGCTCATCTGGATCCCGCTGGGAGAGTTCTTTGTGAACCCCAAGGACACCACCAAGATCACCTTCAGGACGCCCGCGGGACTCTCGAAGACCTACCCGGCCTCGGCCTTCGAGCTCGAGGAGCAGGGAAACCAGAGATTACTCGCCTGATAATTACATGCGCATTCATTGAAACATTTGTTCTATAAAATGTTCATTGTTCGTTGCCCTAGCTCGGGATGAACGAGAGAAAGATAGCTTCTTTTTCACAAAGTCTGCTACGTTGACTCTGGATTCCTTTTTTCTTTCATCTTCCAGTCATCATATTTATGCTAAACGTGAGCAGGAGAGAAGGACAGTCTGCCGTCTCCTTGCCATTTTTCCTCGAATACTGAATGAGGACGACTTCGGAAGCTTGAACTCGGGATGCCATCAACGTAAGATGTCAGAGTGTGCCCGGAAAGACGTAAATGATGGGTGTTAATCAGCCAGACTATTCAAAAAACCTTGTTGGGATGATCCTTCGTCGCTTGTGCTACGACTCACTCGTCTAGGTATATGGAGCGTTCATTTCGAGTCGTTATGGACTTGCATGATTAGAAGAAGATCCATCGGTCTGAAGAGGAGAAAAGATGGCTTTTACCGGTGTGTGTCGTGCATTTGATGCTGGCTCTACGTAAACGATAAGTGAATGGCGTAGAGGAATTGAGGGGTTTTCGCACTAGGGATGTCTTGAAATATATTAAGCAAGCTATCTGTATAATGTATTCACTGTAAGAACGGAGGAAGTAATATTTTTGCGGTTGTTTAGATTTTTCTTCTTTGGTCCTGATGCCGCCCTAAGGTACTCATCGACGATGACAACCATCGCTTGAACCAGACCATGTTAGGTCTTTTGCCTTAAATTGCTCGTTGGTTCAGGCCTATTGATCTCGATTACGCCTCACTGAAATTTAAATTTTTTATATCGTAATGGAAGTGAATTTTCTTTCTAATGGCAATCTTGCATGGTGGACTCCAGCACTACTGCCGTGCGGAGTGAAAAGAGAGAGAGAGAGACGGCGACAAGATCGTGATGATGTGCCTTCCAACTTCGTCTCTCGTGCATATGGTTCCACCAGTCACATGCGCCCAGCCCGTTGACATGCGGCGGACTCATGGAACAGCGTTATTCATTATGTAGGGGCCTAAGCTCACAAGTGGATCATCAAAGCACAAAATACAATGAACTTCGTGAAGAATTTTAACCCGCATTCATCACCAATAGGCCACCTCGCTGCCAACTACCAACTAGCGTTTAGTTCATTCCCTCCATCCCCACCATCACTCCATTATTTTTAAATATCTTCCTGACTCTACGAATATGGTCCATGTTTCCGTATATCCAACCTTTTCTTTAAGGGAAATGCTTAGCGGCAATATCAATCCTGATTCCTTTGACTTTCATTTTTGAAATCTATTTTAGTGTTGAATACCAATTTGCAATACCAGTTTGCCGTAGACTTTGCAGCGTGGCGCATGAGTATATTATTTAATCGTTATTCTCTTGATTAGAACCAATTGTTTAGAATTTTAATGTGACAGAAAATGAGTTGCCTAGGTTCATCCACGGTGGAAGGGGGTTAAACCGCACTGTTGTGGGGAGAGCCAGCAGACAATCAAGTTGGTCTGAACATCAAAGATTTCTCATGAGGCTCGAGTGGCCTCGGTAGTACGCATCTAGAGGCTTCCAACCAACCTATGAGTATTACTAACGTGAGAATGGTTGTCCCACGGCCAATGCTTAATCACGGGATGCCCCATACTTAAATTACAAGTGCTCTAGCACTCTGTTCTTTTGTGTTTTATCTCGGACGGTCAACATTTGTTGGATGCCCGTCTTCTGCACATAAAGTGAGTTCATTCACTTTACGCAACAATGCTCGGCGGACAACAATGGGTTAAAGTCGGTTGGTTGTAGTTGTATAGCGTAGGTGTCGTCAAGGCAGAGATGTGAACTTCAATTGTAAATATAAATCATTGATTCACGGTATTCAAAAGCGATAATCGCTCAGGAGACTTGATGTCTGGTCGCTTGTGTCGAGCTCGTAGCATTTAGGTGGCTTAGTTTGCGTACGCGGGTCAAACGATAATTCTCCCCCTTCACAATGTGACAGGACATCATATTCTGGTTATATCTCCAGCCGACATTTCTAGTTGTCTTCGTCCATTTGTTCACTCACCATTTTCTCTATTCCTAAGAAATTTCTGCGATTATCAGCGGAAAGATCCTCAAAAATTAGGGAGACATTTTCACCCGAACGTTTGGCAAGATTCTCAACAATTGGGAACACAGCGATCTTGTGAAAATCAAAAGAATTGTGAGCTTTAACGCGATGGAAAATTCCATCTTGTTGCTTCAGGGTACAGATTCAATTTTGAAGATGTAGAGCGACCGAATCCGGGTACGTACTACGCAGTTAATCTCTGGTTTCCCTGCTCCTCGAGCTCGAAGGCCGAGGCCGGGTAGGTCTTCGAGAGTCCCGCGGGCGTCCTGAAGGTGATCTTGGTGGTGTCCTTGGGGTTCACAAAGAACTCTCCCAGCGGGATCCAGATGAGCATCTCCCTGGACTTCACCCCCGTCACCCGCCGCATGCGGCGGTCCTCCACGAAGCCCGTGACCTCGGCGCCGTAGGAGACGAGGCGGCCGGCCTTGCGGAAGGTGTAGTTGAGGGCCTTCTTCTGGCGGAGCCACACGAAGCCGGTCTGACGGTTGATGCCGATCTCCTCGACGTTCTCGATGGGGAGGAGGCCCCTGGGGAGGTTGAGTTCCTCGAGGAGGTCGATGGCCTTCTGGCGGCAGAGGTCGTCGCCCGTGTAGATCTCCGCGCCGGGGCGGTGGGCCTCGATGGTCTGCTGCGCCATTGGTGGAACGTGGACCTGCGGTGGGGTTACGGGCGGGGCGGATCGGTGGAGCAACCGGTGTCTGAAGGAGAAGGAGAAGGTGACGACCCGTCTGCTGGGGATGAGGAGGAAAGAGAGCTGGCTGATGAGTGAAGTGATGGGTGCGATGGAGGCGAGCGGGAGGGATACTTATATAGTGCAGTCTTCGCGGGGGACGGATAAGGGAGACGGCTGGTTCAGCGTGTGGGCCTCACAGCCTGACGCGGGACCGTGGGATGCAATGAACTAGAGGCTGCCGTTTGGTTTGCAGGGGTTCTCAGGGGACGGATGAGAAGCTCTGGCTTGGTCGTCCGGGTGAGTGGAATCGGGGGTGTTAAATGATCTTCGAAACTGGCGGGGAGGCAGGCTGTTGTTCAATGTCCGATGATCCACGGGAACGCCGGCATGGGCCTTTGGATTGAAGCACTCTAGTTATCATCACCTAAGGATGCCACCTGGCCCTCATAAGTACACAGCGACTTCTGACGGAGAAAACGAAGCGGAGATGTGGGACCCACGCAACTATGGTCCCTTCCTTCTGGGTTTTAATAGCATCCGTGACAAAAGGGAAGCCAGTGGTAGTGAAGGTCAACTGAGGGAGGGGCAGAATCACGTTGAATGGAAACGTTCCAAACATGCTGGAAACGATGAGCATCAAGATTGTCCGGCCTTGGTAAATTTTCGGTTAGGGATCTGGTCTGCGAATGACTTCACAAGGTGGAGTATCTACGTATGGGGACGTCAGAAACTGTGCCCACCCTCTTTTGCGAACACTCCCTGCCTCTCCGCTTAGTTATCGCTCTCGCTTGCATAGTCGGTGGTCCGTCCCCGCGCCCCCCCACCTCGCGGTTTCTCTAGTATCCATGACTCTCCTTCTGCCTCACCGGTTCCACATTTCCGCCACTCTCGAATGTGCGCTCAAACATCCGAGGCAATTGTGGACCAGGCAATAATCCCTAATCCAAGGGTGGACTATTTCAGATAGTGAGGGTTACTGCATGGGGTGCGGGGGAGTTAGAGTGTGAAGAAATCGTATACATCAACGTCAGATACAGATTCGGAGCCGGCCGACAGACTTTAAGACCGAACTGGAGGCTACTAGGTTCTTGGAGGGACGGACGATGAATTGAATGCTCTTCCAACCCAGCAGTCCGAGGTCAAACAACTGCGTACAAGGCCGTCCCTCAGAGCAACCAATAAATACTCGTCCGATCGTGATCGTGATCGTGCGGTTAAGATGTGATTGGATGTCCATCTGATGTGAATAATCTGGACCGTTATAACTCTCGATCAGACGGTCGCGATTTATTCACTTAAGTGAGTATTTAGGCACGTGGTTGATCTCTGATCGCGTGGACCTCGATTCTACGTGATCTACGAACGCTATTTGTCACGATGTCGATCGGACGCACGAGATCACGCCACGCGTCATGCACATAAGAAAACTAAGGGACTTTAGTCCCACACGGGAAAAACAAAGGAGTATATTCGGGTATATAAGATATGACGATTAAGAGGGATTAATACTTTGTCTTCCGATAATCGGAAAACCTATATACTTTATTAAATAAATATATATACTAAATATAAATACACCACGTGTCACATCAACGCCACGCAGGCACCCGCGTGCTGTCTACGTGGCAGAGCCACGTGGCCCCGAGTACCACGTCGCATCCACGTGTACATGCGCGACATATAACCCCTTTCTGAGATTTTTTAATTAATTTAAAACATTTAAAAATCGAAAATAAATATAAATAAATTCAGAAAAAATCCAGAAAATTCTATAAAATTGTAAAAATCATAACTTTCAAAATACGACTCCAAATTAATTCAAATTTGTTTTGTTGGATTCAAAATTGAATAATCTATCATTAAAATAAGAAGAGAATAAATTTTAATTAATTTTATACATTTATTATTATATAAAATAAATTTATATAAATACATAAATGTTAATAAATATCTTTTCTCTCATATTTTCACTCTTAAAACATGATTATGATCATAAATATAATTAGGATTAAAGATTGTAATGTGTGATTATTTATAATAATCCATAATTTGGTGTATTTTAAGATCATAACATGAATTTACACAAAATGATAGAAATATACTTAAAATATGATAACATGCATATATTTGTAATGATTAATGCCTTAATTTGCATTAATAATTATATAATTACATGCATAAATAGCATGTTATCACACCCCCCAACTTGAATAATTGCTAGTCTCTTAGCAATTCACTAGGTAATCTCCTTAGAAAGTCTTATCATCCCTTGATCCTACAACTAAAGAAGTGAAGTGTATCAATGTGTGATCAACTTTTCATCATAGTGTGGACCATGGTGATCTAGATTCCATAACTAGGTTGACTTCCTTAGAGCATATTAGGGTAGTGCTCATCAGCTAATAGTCAAGTCATTACTCAAGTGTAATCGAGGTGAGCACATCTAAGGTTTGATGCTATGGGAATGAAAAGATTCTCACACTCTCATGAGCAGATGTAATCCTCACCTCTCTAGTTCTCACATCACTCTTTCACTCATTTGGAGGCTACTTGGTGCATTAGAATTCCCCTCAACTCTTCTTTCTCCTTTAAAGAGTGCATTGCAAAAGGATTTTCTATTTTAGGATGCATCGTTATAAGGTAGTTGAAAGAGTAAAAAGACACTATTTCTAAAGGAATAACTTGGTTAAAAGCAAATATCAGCATATAAACAAATTGGATATTATATACAAAGAAAAGGTACCACTGATGTCTAATTATTCTTTCAAATGATGTGGATGATGGTGGTAGATAAGGATTGATAGAAAGTGGTAGAGATGGTGTGGAGTGGTAAAATTGATATATACATTGGAAATGGAATGAAGGTAATGGGTAGAGATAGGTATTTGCATGGTAAAGATAATTTCCCATATTGTTCTCCTTCTTTTCACTTTCTTATTCCTCTCTTTCTTTTCTCCTCATTTTCTTTCCTTCTTTCTTTTTGTCTTCTTCTTTTCTTCATTTCATATTTGCTTCTCTTTTTCTTCTTCTCTTCTTTCTTCTTTTTATATAGGGTAACTTTTTGGAGAAGAAGAAGATAACATTTGAAGACTTTGCATAAAACAAGGATATGAAGGTTGTCTTGATGTTTGAAGAGAGTATTCGAAATTTTGAAGTGTGATATGAAGGAATATTTGCTTGTAAGAGAAATTGTGAAGAAGATGGATGGCTTGTATAGATAGTGGAAAAGAAAATGTGGTGGATATGTTTATCACTTGGGAGGGTAATTATAATCAGTGAAGCTGAAATTTGGGTGTCTAATTGACTGGTATAGAAAAGGTAGAACTAAATGCCTAAAGGATAGAATAGGTGCATCAAAAATTATGACACATTGCACTCTTCTAGGAGAAAGTTCGGAAGCGAGAAATTCTTACACCAAGCAGGTTCGGCTGATGTAAGGTAGGGGATAGGAATTTGCTTGAACTTCACTCAAAATCTCTCCTTTTCAATCTAATAGCACTTCAACCTCTAATTACTCATTTTCCTCGGTGCCTGCTAAATACCCAACCCCGAAGAAGTCAACCACTAAAAAGAATCCATGGTTTCTCTAGATCACTTGGCTTTATTACTCAAAATGTAATCACATGAGCTATGAGGCCCTCACTTCTACATATCTAGGAATAGGATCTCAAAATGTTTAAGACTTCTAAGGTGTTTAAAAGTAGTAAAAATTTGAAAAATTTTGAAAATTGAAGTTTTTCTACATCCTCACCCCCCAACTTAGATCTTTCATTGCCCTCAATGAAACCATTATGTATATTAAAAAGATGGCAACACTATCATACATTACATGAAAAAGATTATAAATTGAAATGAGAAGTAAAAAGGTTTAGAAAAACTCATTTATGCGTGTTGACGCATATCGCTGGAATTTGTCCAAATTGTTTGTTGTTGTAGGTGGATTCCTCCAACTATGTATGTACATTGATATAACTACAAACAAGAACTAAATAAAACAGTAAGATAATCTTGGGGTGCCTCCCAAGAGCGCTAAGTTTAACGTCTTCAGTTAGACAAAACTTAGTGAACTACAATGATCGATGAGATGAGGGTGTTACCTTTATCACGTCCTCATGTACCTCGGGGAGATGCAGATTTACCTTATCTGCTGGTGTGGGTGACTCTGCTGTAAGGTAGGGCTTTAGACGATGCCCATTTACCTTGAATTGTTTGCCAGATTTAGGGTCAGAAATAAGCACTGATCCGTTGTCAAACGATTCCACAACCACATACGGACCGTCCCATCGTGAGCGCAGCTTACCTGGAAAAAGCTTAAGGCGAGAGTTATATAACCAAACCTTTTCATTGACGTTGAAAGTTCTTCTTCTGATGTTCTTGTCATGAAAGGCCTTGGTCTTTTCTTTGTAGATCTCCGCGTTCTCGTACGCGTCACGCCTTAACTCCTGTAATTCCTGCAGCTGGAGAAGTCTATGTTTACCTACTTCGTCTAGAGATAGGTTGAGCTTCTTTATTGCCCAATAGGCTCTATGCTCGAGCTCAACTAGCAGATGGCACGCCTTCCCAAATACGAGTCGGAACGGAGACATCTCGATAGGTGTCTTGTAAGCCGTTCTATACGCCCATAATGCATCTGGAAGCTTGTGCCCCCAATCCTTACCGTCTGGTCGAATGATCTTCTTTAAAATATTCTTGACCTCTCGGTTGCTCACTTCAACTTGCCCATTAGCTTGGGGGTGGTACGGTGTAGTGACGCGATGATGTACTCCATATTTCTTCAATAATGCACGAAAGTGTGCATTGTTGAAGTGCGAGCCTCCGTCACTGATTATGGCCCTCGGACAATCGTATCGGGAGAAGATGTTTCTCGTTACAAACCTGAGTACTTCCCGATGAGTGTTTGTCCTAGTGGAAATAGCCTCCACCCACTTAGACACATAATCAACCGCTACCAAAATATATTCTTTCCCATCAAAAGGTGGAAAAGGTCCCATAAAGTCGATCCCCCATAAATCAAATATCTCCACTTCAAGGATAGGCCTCATTGGCATTTCATCTCGCTTGGAGATGTTTAATGCTGCCTGGCATTGTAAGCACTCTATATAGAAACGGTGGGCATCCTTGAAGATGGTGGGCCAATAAAAACCGCTTTGTAAAATCTTATCTGCTGTCTTTCGCGCGGCAAAATGTCCTCCACACGTTGATGAGTGACACATCGATAATATGCTTCCTTGTTCTTCTTCTGCTACGCATCGCCGTATAATTTGATCGTATCCTACATGGAACAAAAGTGGTTCTTCCCAATAATAATATTTGAGTTCATGGAAGAACTTATCTTTACGATGCCGGTTCCAATGATCTGGGATCGATCCTGTCACTAGAAAATTGACGATATGCGTGAACCAAGGAGCATGACTAGATACTGCAAGAAGATGCTCATCAGGAAAAGAATCACTAATATCTCCCGTACCTGAAATGTGAAGACGAGATAGGTGATCCGCCACCGAGTTTTCGCTGCCCTTCTTATCTCTAATCTCCAAGTCAAACTCTTGAAGAAGTAGCACCCATCGTATCAATCGTGGCTTCACCTCCTTCTTGGAAAACAAGTACTTTAACGCTGCATGATCTGTATAAATAACAATCTTGCTTCCCAAGATGTAAGGCCTGAACTTCTCTAACGCGTAGACCACCGCTAAGAGCTCCTTTTCTGTCGTCGTGTAATTCATTTGAGCTTCAGCAAGGGTCTTACTCGCATACCATATAGCTGTTGGCTTCTTATCTATCCGCTGTCCCAACACCGCTCCAACTGCATAGTCTGAGGCGTCGCACATGATCTCGAAAGGCAAGTCCCAATTAAGACTTTGAAGAATTGGTGCTTCGATCAAGGCGAGCTTCAACATCTCGAATGCGCACTCCCCTTCTTTATCTATAAAAAAGTCTTTATCCTTGCAAAGAAGAGTAGTTAGCAGTTTGGAAACTTTAGCAAAATCTCGTATAAACCTGCGGTAGAAACCAACGTGTCCTAAAAAACTACGTAAATCTCGTAATGTAGTGGGGAGAGGAAGGTTTTGAATGACCTCAATCTTGGCCTTATCAACCTCCAAACCTTTGCCCGAGACAAGATGCCCAAGCACTACTCCCTCTCGCACCATAAAATGGGATTTCTCCCAACTCAATACCAGTCGTTTCCACGCAGACCTCGAGGATCTTTGTCAGGTGAGTTAGACAGCTGTCGAAATCATCTCCAAAGACAGAGAAATCGTCCATCAAAACTTCGAGACTGTCGCCAAGGAAATCGGCAAATATCGCCGTCATACATCTCTGGAATGTCGAAGGGGCGTTACACAATCCAAATGGCATTTGCCTAAATGCGAACGTGCCAAAGGGACATGTGAACGTCGTCTTTTCTTGATCGTCCGGATGAATCGCAATCTGGTTGTACCCTGAATAACCATCCAAGAAACAAAAGTAAGTCTGACCTGCTAGTCGATCAAGGATTTGATCGATGAATGGCAACGGGAAGTGATCTTTCTTCGTCGCTGCATTCAACTTCCGGTAGTCGATACAAACTCGCCACTTCGTCGAGAGGCGTGTTTGAATCTCCTCTCCTTTGTCGTTCACAGTCACTGTAACTCCTGCCTTCTTGGGAACCACGTGCACGGGACTAACCCACTGGCTATCCGATATGGGATAGATAATCTCTGCATTAAGCCACTTAAGAATCTCTTCCTTAACGGCTTCCCATACCTTAGGATTAAGTCGGCACTGGGCTTCCCTTACGGGTCTGAACTCGTCCTCCAAGAATATGCGATGAGTGCATAATGAAGGGTCTAATCCCCTCAAATCTGCTAGAGTCCATCCGATTGCTTGCTCATTCCGTCGTAATACGTCGAGTACTCGTTTCTCCTGCTCCTCATTGAGCTGGGAAGAAATGATCACTGGTTTAACCTGCTGAGAGTCAAGGAAAGCGTACTTGAGTGTAGATGGAAGAGGCTTGAGCTCCCCTGTCGGATCGTCCAACGGTAGCTCCTCGAAATCAGCTCCCTCGTTGACCGTCATGACTTCTTCGATGCAAGTCTCTATGTCTTGATCATCAAATAGGTCGATGGCACCCAAATCCTCGAAAGCTTGTGAAGGATACTTCATCAACTTGTTGATGTTGACCTTCACCGTATGCTCTCCCACCTTAAGAATCACTTCTCCTTTTCCCCAATCTGTAACGGCTTTTGCAGTAGCTAAGAAAGGTCTTCCTAGGATAATTGGGGCTTGACTAAGCTCCTTAGTGATCTTCATATCTACAACTAGGAAGTCTACCGGAAAATAACATCCTTCTATTCTAACAATCACATCTTCTACTATGTCATGAGGCTTCCTTACCGATCCATCCGCTAAACATAACTCTATAAGAAAAGGCTGCAATTCCTCTACATGATGACGGTCATATACGGCTTTAGGGAGGATATTGATACTAGCTCTAGTATCTAACAACGATCTAGTAAAAATCATTCCTCCAATCTCACTCGTAATCATGGGAGCTCCTGGATCTCTCTTTTTAATAAGAAGAGAATTCATCATAATGGAACTAATATTCTCACTCAATTGGATCCTCTTGGGGCTTCTATGGTGTGTGCATATGCCTTTAAGAAATTTAGCATAAGAAGGTATATGCCTAATTGCATCTACTAAAGGGATGGTAATGGTAACTTTTTGGAAGGTTTCTAATAAATGATCATCAGATTCACTAACCTTAGCCTTAGGCTTACTCAATGCTTGAGGATATGGCACGGGTGGTTTGTATGTGTCTGGATTTGGCTCAACTTGCACCCGTTCTTCCTCATCATCGGAACTACTATCTGGCTCTATTACGACTGTCGGTGTCTCATCATCTATCGAGCTCTTATGTAAAGGATGATCCTTGTAAGGATCAGGTAAATCCTTGCCGCTCCTAAGGCTCGATATCGCTAATGCCGCTTTCACTTCCTCCTCGTCAACATGCACATGACTCAGATTGTGCGTTTGACTCGATGAGGACCCTTGATTCCTCGGGTTGATAGTGGCTTGTGATGGTAATTGGTCAGAAAATGAAACTTGCTTACCCTTCTTATTCACAGTCGAGGTAGGGATGTTCGTCTTGACGAAATCCTGTATCTCGTCCACACACGAGTTCATCCTGCTCATTTGCTCCATCAACTGAGAGAGCGCACCCAGAATCGGATCTGCAGATGGTGCGGTCGGTCGTGGAGCTTGGTTGTACGACTGCTGTGGTGGAATATACGTCGACTGTCTTGCATTCGTGTAGGGTTGCTGTTGCGAGTTTTGTTGCTGACCGGTGCTATATGGAGGATACGTCTGATCCGTACTCCTCCTAAATTCTTGCTGCTGCTGCTGCATAGGATTATAAACAGGGTTATTAAAATAATTTGGATATGTACCTTGATAGTTCGGTCGTCCCTGTTGAATTTGCCCTCTTGGCGGGCCTTGTCTGTACATGCCCTGCCCTTTAATTGCCATGATCGGACAATCCATCTCGACGTGGTCGAGGCGTGAGCAATGGGCGCATGACGACGCTTCTTGTAGAGCAACGGGTGCAAGTCCTTCAGATCCGTTGCGGATGTGGAACCGATCTAATAAAAGATTCTGAACCTCCGCCATCTTGTCAATCTTCACTAGGAGCATGCTCGTCTCTACCGCCTTTTCGTCGATTAATCCTCCTTTCGGCATTGCACCTCTTCTGAATGGTTTTGCCGAGTTGTGGTGGCTATTTTCCGCCACAGTCTCGATCAATTCCATTGCTTCATCTTCAAATTTGCTCATGAAGGTGCCGCCGCTAGCTGCATCCAAAAGATATCTATCTTACAGGCCTAACCCATCATAAAATATCTGTGTAAGCTCATGGTTAGACACTCCATGGTGAGGGCACTCTCTAGTGAGGTCTCTAAGTCTCTCCCAAGTTTCGTGAAATGTCTCACTCGGTCCTTGGGTAAACTCACGCATCGCCTTCCTAACAAAGGTGGTATTTCCTACGGAATAGTATTTCCTAAGAAATTCCTCCTCCATCTCGGTCCAAGAAGTGAACTCCTTTCCTAACTTAAGAAACCAATCCTTAGCTCTATCTCTAAGGGTGGTGGGAAAGAGTTTCATCTTCATTACATCTGCCGACACATTATGAATCTGATTAATCTCACATACTTGACTAAGCTCGTCGACATATCTATAAGGATCCTCGGAAGGTTTACCATGGAAGATAGGTAACATACTCATCACATGCGAGTCTATCCTAAAATTCGCATTTCTAGCTAAGGGTGCATGAATACGAGTAACGGGTCTTTGAAGAACAGGCCTAGCATAATCACTTAGGCGTCTCCTAACATTTCCCTCATCATTCAGGGCCATATCTAAGGTCGATGATGACGCGAAAGATGAAAGTGATTGCGAGGAACGTTCAAAAAGATCTAAGTGTGGTGGATTATCCCTCGTTCTCCAATCAGACTCTCGTCTCATAAATATGCACAAATATATATAGTATAATAATACTAAGAAGAGATACTATAAAATTATTCAACAAGGACAAATTTAATCGTACCTGATTGTCGCTATTCGTCAGAGTTACGCTCTCCCAATTCGAGTATGACGCGATGATTGTCCGTCGTCCGTAGAGAGGGACTAATCACTTAATCTCATCGAAATTGAGTATCTAAATGATATATTTCTGCTACAAATAGCTCAAGGATCAATTTGGATTAAAATCAAAAAATGAAACAGAAAAATCAGAGTTGACCGAGTCAAAATCGATGATTTTACTCGAAAATACGCCTTAATTCCCCGGCAACGGCGCCATTAGACGAGACTAAATCGTATGGTCGTTGAATGCACACGATTCAGTGTCAAAACAAAGTCCTAATCTTACCAATTTATTATTAATTAAAGTAATTAATTAGTATAATGGTAATTAAGGGTCGAATCCACGGAGAATTAGGGAAATTTGAGAGATATCTTTGAAATTCGGTCAAATCGGACGATGAAATTAGGTTGTAAATTGGGTAATTTAGTATATTGAGAAAGATAACTCAATTTCGAATCCACGGAGTCAAAAATCAGGTGATTTGGATGAGAATTCGAAGAGTAATCGAAGTTTGAAGTTAAGAGAAATTTTCGTATCGCGAAATGATTAAAAACAGAAATTAAAACTAAATTAAACTTAATCTACAATACTTAAAGTAAAATTAACACTAAATGATGAAAGATTAAGATGAAAACAAACAATCTAACCCAAATTAGCCTTCGAAATGATCCAATTAATCGCCGGATGCAAGGCTTTTCATTCCGAATTTTCGAAGACGAAAGAGGAGTTCAAGACTTGATTTCTTCCAATTCTTTCAATCAAACATTGAAATTAAACATCCAACAGAAGCGGAAATGAGTTGCGAACACAATGCAAAAGATGGCGCGCGAATTGGAGCTCTAAACAAAGAGAATTTGAAGATTGATCGCGGGTAGTTCTTCCGTCGCGAAGAACGGATTTTATAAAATTCGGAAATGATCGTGGCCGTCCGATCTGATGGAGTTGATCGCGATGGACGATCGCGATGAGACGCCTCTTCACGAATCGTCGCGACGATTCGACGATCGTCCGATCGTGATCGTGCGGTTAAGATGTGATTGGATGTCCATCTGATGTGAATAATCTGGACCGTTATAACTCTCGATCAGACGGTCGCGATTTATTCACTTAAGTGAGTATTTAGGCACGTGGTTGATCTCTGATCGTGTGGACCTCGATTCCACGTGATCTACGCACGCTATTTGTCGCGATGTCGATCGGACGCACGAGATCACGCCACGCGTCCTGCACATAAGAAAACTAAGGGACTTTAGTCCCACACGGGAAAAACAAAGGAGTATATTCGGGTATATAAGATATGACGATTAAGAGGGATTAATACTTTGTCTTCCGATAATCAGAAGACCTATATACTTTATTAAATAAATATATATAGTAAATATAAATACGCCATGTGTCACATCAGCGCCACGCAGGCGCCCGCGTGCTGTCCACGTGGCAGAGCCACGTGGCCCCGAGTACCACGTCGCATCCACGTGTACACGCGCGACATATAACCCCTTTTTGTGATTTTTTAATTAATTTAAAACATTTAAAAATCGAAAATAAATATAAATAAATTCAGAAAAATTCCAGAAAATTCTATAAAATTGTAAAAATCATAACTTTCAAAATACGACTCCAAATTAATTCAAATTTGTTTTGTTGGATTCAAAATTGAATAATCTATCATTATAAAAGGTCAAATTATTAAAATAAGAAGAGAATAAATTTTAATTAATTTTATACATTTATGTATTATATAAAATAAATTTATATAAATACATAAATGTTAATAAATATCTTTTCTCTCATATTTTCACTCTTAAAACATGATTATGATCATAAATATAATTAGGATTAAAGATTGTAATGTGTGATTATTTATAATAATCCATAATTTGGTGTATTTTAAGATCATAACATGAATTTACACAAAATGATAGAAATATACTTAAAATATAATAACATGCATATATTTGTAATGATTAATGCCTTAATTTGCATTAATAATTATATAATTACATGCATAAATAGCATGTTATCACCTGGGGTGTGCCGAAAACTTGCATAATTTACGTTCATTCAACACTTCGTTATAAACTTTGCCTTTTCTCCTCGGTGAATTTTAGAACTTAGCCACAGTGTGGGATGTGATGGAACCACGCAGGTTTTTCATAAGATCCAGTTTCTTACTGGGTCAGTTTTATGATACATTTCTCGAAACAAAGGCTGGGACTCGTCTCTCCCATTGGAATGAGAGCAAAAAGATGCTTCAATCGCGAGAACACACTACCCCTTAAGCTTGATGAACATGATGTTCTACCAGGGACTAGTTTAGCTGTATCATCTTGATATTTGGTAGTCAATTATGCCTCTACTTTATCATCTGATGTGTGAATCTATGATGAGTGCATGCTAACGAGCTGCTGTGCTGACTTGTGGGCCTCTCCCCGAATAATGCACCCGGCAGGGGAGGGAAAAGAGAGGCTTCTGATTTGCTGGCCGAATGTACTTATCAAACCTCGTCAGGGATTCCATACAGTGTACTAGGTCGACGGACTGAGGGGGCGAACCTGGCCGTAGAGGCTGAGAGGTAGCACAGAACGGTGGGAATGAGTGCTAGTGGCGGAAGCGGAATAAGGATGTGGGCAAAGAAATAGAGAAAGAGGGAGAGAGAGAAAGGGAGACG